TCTAATATGGTTGCCGTCACGTGATGGTGCAAAACCTCTATATTTGTCCTACCATCTAATATGGTTGCCGTCACGTGATGGTGCAAAACCTCTATTTTGTCCTACCATAAAACTTGGCTGCCGTCACGTGATGGTACGAAACCTCTATATTTGTCCTACCATAAAACTTGGCTGCCGCCACGTGATGGTGCGAAAACTTTATATCATTGACATGTGTAAAGGCTATTGAAGGATATGCCTGGAGGATTTCCTTGCCAAGTACTATATCAATTTTATCCCTATTTTTTCTCAGATTTATCGACATGTCCTCCCGGATGGGTCTCTGTTGGTAAATCGTGCTACCAGTACATCATTGGGAGCCTCTCTTGGAATGGAGCAAGATTACACTGCGTCACCAGAGGCGGCCATATTGCCACACCTTGGACTATGTCTAGAATGAACTCCTTGAATAACTACCTCAACAAACTGCAGTTTGGAAACCCAAGAGTGGCTTTTGTAGGTGCAACGGTTATTGAACATGGTCATTGGGAATGGTTCTCAGGGGCTTCCGTTAATCCTATCTTCTGGGGACCAGGACAGCCCTCTTGGGACGGTCAATGTGGAAACTTGATCAAAGGAGAAGAGTGGGATTCAAACTGGCTTGGATATGGATGGAAGTTAAATGACGAGCCATGTAATGACCCAAGCAGCTTTATTTGTCAAAAGAAAATGAGTAAGTTTGATAAATTTATTAAAGTTCCGATGTTTTAGCGTGGCATGTGCTATTATATGCCATAAGATGACGCCAACAGTTGGTCAAAATTAGTTATGTACTCATTAGGCGTAGGCGAGTTTTCCACCAAAAGTCTCTAATCGGCTTAGTGGATTTAGAAATTGCCGTGGGAGAATAATGGGAGATCCAGGTAAGTTACCTCAATGGCAAGGAGAAAAAAGCACATCAAACAGGTCGAGGAAAAAACTGGGTCAAGTTGTCTTTGCAATACCTTGTGGGGTTGTTTTAGGAGAGATATCTTCAAATGGCGTCTATTTCGTCCATAAAACAGCCCACAATGTACTGCAATGACAAGTCGACTCGGGTTCTTTCTCAACCTTGCAGAATCGCAAATTCACATGTGGTGTTCGCATGGATCAGAGTATTCAGTTTCTTGTATTCATGTCACAGAAGTGAAAGGCGAACGTTTTACCGAACACGATCCTTGCTACTATCCAAATAATCCGATAATCCTTTAACTGTCATATTTTTTTAACAGCACCAAACAAGACCTGTGAGTCTGATTGGTTTGCTCTCAGCAATAACTGCTATCACATCTATTTTGGTCTCAGTACTTGGGAAAACGCAAAACAAATATGTCAAGAGAAAGGCGGTCATCTAGCATCACTCGACAATGAAAGCACAATGAATGCCATGACTGCAAAACTAGACACTTTTTCTTATCTCAAAGGCTATAATGCTAAAGTTTTCGTTGGCTTAAGAAATGTTGGCCAGTTTCGATGGGTAAATGGCCAGCAGGTTTCCAGCAGTCTTTGGCACGGCGGAGCTGTTGATAAGTACAGCTCTAAGACGTGCGGTGCGTTAACACCTTATGCAGGATCGTGGAGGATGACTCAATATGATTGTAGTTATTACCTTATTGACTACCTTTGTCAAACAGAAAAACGTAAGTTTAACGCAATGATAAAATGTATTTTAGAAGTTTTCGTATGATTGGGAAATGTATGGAAGTGACGTTACGCGGACATGCCATAACACTGAAATGGCTTCCAATAGGAATGGTTAACTTAGAAATCGGGTAAAATACTGACTTACAATACTTACACATTACGACATGCCGCAACATTGAAATGGCTTCCCATAAGGATGGTTAACTTAGGAATCGGATGCGATACTTACTTACGGCACGTCACAATTTACGAAATGTCGCAACACTGAAATGGCCTCCGAAGAGAATGGTTATGGTAGTAGAGTAGAGTAGAAACCTTTATTTAAACGAAAAAGTATAAAAAAACAGGGTAGTCCATTCAGTGGCAAAATGCCCCTGCTATCAAAAGGAGCCCTGATAAATACACATACACAACTTACAATAAATAGAAACTAAAAAAAGCTAATATGATTAAAATGTAATACTATTTACAATATAGTTTCAATACTAAATCTAATAATGTAAGTACCTAAAAGCTAATATATAAAGGGTTATTAGACCTTTCCATGAGTGGGGAACGTACGGTACATGCTGTAGCAATAGAATGGCTTCCTATAAGAATGGTACGTATATATAGTACGAGTGGAAAACTTACGGTATTGACTTACGACAGTAACATGCACGGCAACATCTTGTTAATCTAATATACCTAATTTACCCGCATTAAAAGATAATTAGATTTCCATAATTTATCTTATTTAACACAAAGAAAGCAGGGGATTCTTGTACTTTTATTTCAAATTCCTTATGCTTGAGTTAGGGTTAACTTTGTTGGGTTTGAAAATCCTAGGCAACAAAGTAAATCCTGGTATGGCGGAAACGAACAGCAGTGTTTCTATTGGAGAGCCATCATTTGTTGTTGATGGAAGCTACGCGACATGTTTTCAAACGAAAAAGGTAACTGACACCACAGTTTAAAAGTTTGCGTGCACTTGTCATTAAAGCTAACTCATCCATCCATCCATCCCTCCCTCCCTCCCTCCCTCCCTCCCTC